ATTGTACTGTGACTTTTTTTCTCTACATTAAAAGAATAGTTTTGGTTTACAAACATTTCAGGTTACAAATAGTCTTCAGGAATTAATTAAATTCATGAAATAAGGTTTCACTGTATTCTTCTTATTCTTTGCTTCTCACCTGACAATATTTTAGTAATTTTCTTTAGTAATTGTTTATGATTTAACTGTAAAACAAAATCCAAATCATTTTTTTATCAATCAATATCTTTTACATAATAAACATTTCTTCTGGATGAGTTTCAAATTTGAAACTCATCCAGAAGAAATGTTTATTATTATTATTTGGTCTCTTTTGAGCTGACTGAGATTACCCAACAATTGTAGAATATTTTGTATGACATCCAGATCTGTTATGAGAATTTGAATGATCTTACATATATTTTGTTCTTACAAAAATTTGTTTGGCTAATTATCTATCTTGCCGAGCATTTGACATTGTCTCTTTCTAAAGCCTGACTTCTTTTATTATACGTTTCATAACAAAGATTCTTAGGTGTCCAACACTGTTTCATGTGCTACTATTGTCAAATGTATTATTATTTATCTTTTCAGTTTCATATTAATCTGACAATTTGAAAAAACTTTTGATATCTTAGCAGATGTTCAGTATCTTATTTATTTTTTAAATTTAGTTCTAAAATTAATTGCAAAATGATGAAAATACTTCATATCACAATTGAGTTTTGTGTCTATAGTAAGTTATAGCCTAACAAAGTCTATTCTGCTTAAGGTCATTTAGGTAATAATAATCTGCTACAATCTGAATCTGGTGATTCATCAGTTACTCATCTAAGAACTTTAATGTCAGTTTAGTCTTCAGAGTCTACTTGCTTTGTAATGTTGCATGTTGGCAATCAGTAATATTAAATGCTGTAACAGTTTTTTTGTTATTAAGTATCTTTGTGTAAACTGTCTCTAGAAGGAATAATGGATTAGACTAATAATTAGATTAATAATCCATTAATGTTCACTATAAAAAATTACAGGTTTCTACCCATCATATCCACCATCTCAAAAATGTGACAATGGCTGTTAAAGAAACAATAATCAATGTGTAATAACTTAATATCAAAAATCCTCCAAATTTGGTTTAATGATACTATCTAAAGTATTTCTGTTATATCAAGTCATTAACTTTGGCAGAAACTTTTATCCTTCAAAATTGAGCCACAAAACTACAATGTCAGTTCTGTTATCTTCAGTTAACAGTGATGAACTTATTAGGTATATTTTGCAATTGGCACTTAAATTAATTTTAAGATTATTTTAAATATTGGTTTTTCACTATAATATAAAGTAACAATATCTTTTACATAACAAGATAAATGCTTTCAGCCTTTTTATATCAGTGAAATATAGTTTGTTTTTTTTTTGTTTTCTTGTGAATCTAGTTTTTTCAAAGTAATATGCAGCTGTTATTCTTGCATGTGTTATGAATAGAGATGGCACTATTATGTAACTCAACTAAGTAATCATTTAATAAAAATTCTTATTTAAAGATTTTTTACATATGCTTTGGTCTTTGAAGGATATTTTGACTTGACATGATAAATGAATGTATATTCTATTTAGGGTGTAAAATATGAAAAATAACTAGCTGCATAATTTACTCAAGTTATATATGTAAAAGGTTCATTTGAAATAGATGTTCAGAATGATGATAACCAAAGTCCTGAGAAGTATGTGGCCATAATATACTGATGACCATAATTTTACTTGAATAAAAATTTTGCTTTAAATTTTATATCAAAGAAAAAATATTTATCTGGATCGTCTTGTGATTTACTTCTCCATTTTGTTGCAATCTTAAAATGGTCACGTTTTATTTTTATTTTTTTCTTAGAGACAGATTTTACTGTTTATCTGTAAGCTTGGCAATTAATATTAACTTGGAATATGTCACCTGAAATCTGATTAAAATAATGCACAAAAATATAATTACTTCATTTTGATTTCAGTGATATAGTTATAAAATATTTCAAGCAAATTTAATTAAGAAATCATTCAGTTAGAATACAATTTTTACAGAACTTTATAAGAATCTGTTTAAAATACTACTTGTTATTTAGAATGTTTCCTAAAAGAAAAATCCAAGTCTAATAAAAAGAAGTTATAAATCAAATAGCAAAATCAAAGTTAGTTACCATTATGCAAAGATTGAAATTGATCATCATGAGAAGCAATCAAGAACAAACTGATCATAACAGCTTCATCTTTCTAAGACTTGGACGAGTATAATTGCTTTTTTTCTGTTATATGCCAGCAATTACTGGCCTTTTCAATTCTGACTGTCAAGTAATAAAAAAAAACTCAAGTTGTACAATTTTTGTTGTTTTTTTTCCCCCTCATTACATTTCTTTATAAGTTGCTTTTACAACAATGTAGAGATTGACCTTTAATTGTATGAAAAGTGGAAGAAACCTAATTAGTTATCTTCACTGTGGTTGATGGAATTGATCTTTGGTTACTTTTTCCCAATATATACACCAATTGCTTTTGATCACTTTCTTCCTGTCTGTATTTGTAAAACATTTGGATTTTTTTTTTTTTAATTACTGGTTGTTGAGAAAGAACTTCAGGGGATTTTTACCTGTATATTCCTCTTAATGTTTACTGTTAAACTACTAAATGACATTTCTTCTCTTTGCTGTATATTTTAAAAGCTTATTGAGTATAGTATTTCATATTGTTAGAATTGTTTTTGGGGATATACTGAGTATTATATATATATATATGTCTGTGTGTAGCATGAAGCTGAAAATAATTCTATATTGACTGCTGTAAAAACTGATGAACAGTAAAAATTAAGTGTTAGTAGTTTGATAATTGTGATAAAGTTTTCAAATTTTTCTTCTGATTTTGATTAGTGGCCATTGATTAAATCTATAATTTTCTCCATTCATAAATGCATATATTTTTAGCATCAAATGTAAAATTTAATTTATAATTATTGTAAACTGAAAATGTTCATCTCACTCTTTGTAGCGTAATTTTAGAGATAAATATATTAATCCTTAAATGACTTATACTCTTTATTTCTAATGATTCTTTGCCACTGAAATTTTTACCATCCATTAAGAATATGTTAACACAAAAGCTGACTCCGACTATTAAAGAATAACTCTGTAGATTAGACTGCTTTTCAAATGTATATTATTTATATAAACAATATAAGTTTGCATTACCAGGTTTTCATATAGTCTCTTTACAATTTAAAAAATTGATTACAAAAGCAAATATGTGGAAATTGTTACAAAATGAGGAGTAGATATTGAATTTTTTTTAACTAATTTAATACACCTCTATATGAGCACCATTAGTTGCACAAAGCATATCGATGGTACTCAATTTCTTGCCATTTTTGCTGTAGCATGGCATTAATGATCTTTTGCTTTAAATCAGTGATGTCCCATATCTTTGTTCGATGCACAATATCTTTAACATAAAACAGAAAGAAGTGCAGGCTAGTGATATCTGGTGAACAAGGTGGCCAGGGAATTGGGTCATCCATTCCAATCCACCAGTCTGGAAATGCTTGATTTAGAAACCCACAAATATTCAGTCCCCAATGTGGTGGTGCACCATCTTGCTGTAAAATGATGGTTGGTTGAAGGTCATCTAGTTGTGGTGCCACATATTCAGTCAAAAGGTCAAGGTAAACATTTGCAGTAATTGAAGTCTTGTTGAAGAAAAATGGACCAATGATTCAATTCCACACCACACATTCACCTTTGAACTATCTCAGCAAAGTTCTCTTGTTACATGTGGGGGTGTTCCCAGATTCTGACATTATGTATGTTCAGTTTCCCTAAAATATGAAAGGTTGCCTCATCACTAAAACAAACTTAGGTGAAGAACGTTTCATCCCCAGAAATTTGTTCCAACATGTTAACTGCAAACTCTTTTTGTCTTGGTTTATCATTTGGCACAAGTGCCTGTAAGAGTTGCACTTTTTAAGTATACAATCGCAAGTTCTTGTGTAGGACTTTTTGTACCATTGAATGTGGCAGCTGTAACTGTTTGACAGCAGTATGGATGGATATTGCAGGAGAACACTGAAAAGCTTATTTTACACAATCATTGTTTTTCTCAGATGTTCTTGGTTGTCCACTCCTCTTTTTATCTAACACTGTCCCTGCCTCCATAAACTTCTTGTGCCATGCACAAATTGATGGATATGACAGTGGATCTCTTCCATACTTAGTTCTGTAGTTTCACTGAATCTGCATATACAAATTTGTTTCAATAAACCAGGACACACATTATGCCTTTTCTTGAGGAGTAGTTATTTTTAGGGGTTCATTTCATCAACAAGATACCTGAAATACACAAATGCAATGTGATTAAAAACTTTGATAACTACTGAGTACATAGAACAAATCTGATTAAGATATCTCATCAATTTCCTTTGTAATATATTTTTTAAATTGTAAAGAGACTTTATGCAACTGGCTAGAAAAGTTACTTCTATTAATTTCTTGTACATGTTTATCAACAGCAGCATGAACATCAAACACTGAGTCATGGAAGATGTAGATTTCTTCTTTTTTTTTTATTTATTTAGTCAGGAATACAAACATCAAAACTAAGTAAAACAAATATATTGCTTAAAGAAAATAGTGGGGAAAAAGAATACATATTTTTAGGGAGCAAATCACCTTTAATCCTGATTCTTCTCTCCTGTATTAACTGACATCTCAGAATATTTCTTTATCCTGATTACTTTATCATGATAGATTCATTCATCCATTTTTTATGATTTATCAACCCTTTACAGGTTATTTAAAGCCAGAAAATGTTTAGATTGTAAGAATTGTTGTGGTGTGGAGATAATGGTTTAGTGATACAAGTCTTACTAATTAACCCATGGCTGGGAGGGAAAAGAGGTGGATTCATATTTTTCTAAGGATATTTTCATGTAAGTGTATTGGATTAACAATTCTGAGCCATTATCCATTCCACCACCTGCACATCCAAGTTTGCATCACCTGGTATTCCCAAGCAGTCACCCATCTAGGTACTGACCAGGCTTGATGTTGCTTAACTTCAGCAAATGTATGGGAACTGGTGTTTCAACATGATATGGCCATAAACCAGGATTACTCTATCAGGCTAATGTTAAAGTTAAGTGGTGATACTAAATTACACTGTATATGGGACTTTAGTTTGGATCTCTAGATTACTTGATCAAAATGGAAAGAAGGAAAAGATATGTTTACAAGTGTTTATCCATAAAGTAGTGTCTAGCTTTTAAATAGCATCTGAAAATGCAAGTGAAAATACAGGTGTTGACTCAAGCAAATGGAAAAATTGTGAAAATATATCTAAAAATTATACTGGTGTACAAAAAAAAAATTTTTTTTCACTGAGGCAAGTATGTGAATAGATGTTTTCTTTACTAATTTTTCTGAACAATTTTGTTCTATCACCAAGTTTTTTGCTTTCACATTTTTATTATACTGCATATACAGGGTGGGATGGTTAAACTGTCATTGAAATTATGCAAAAATGAAAATAATACTGACATCCCATTTTAACGGATATATTTACCAAAATTACACAGAAATATCTTTAAATACTGAAGAGTAAATTTATTCAATAAAATCACCATTGGTTTCAACCATGGCCGCCTTTTGGAATCTCCTGCAACTCTTCTGGACAGTCTCCTTGTTGGCAAATGCTGCTATGATCTTTGCTTTCAGTTCATCTTTGGTGTTATAAGGAGTTTTGTTGGTCTCTCGCTCAACTGTGCCCCACACATAATAATCAAGGGGGTTGCAGTCTGGGGAGTTAGGTGGCCAGATGTAAGGGGTGATGTGGTCGCAGAAATTGTCTTGACAGCCATGACTGGGTTCTCCTGCTTGTGTGGTATGGTGCAGAGTCCTGTTACCAAATGTAGGATTTTTCAGCAGCCACCCTCTTGACACAGGGTAGCACTACATTCTCAAGGCACTTGATGTAGGTCTCCATGTTGAGTCTGAGGGAAGAGACATAATGCTGCCATCACTCCAAACACTATGATGTTGACTGGATATTTGGTTTTCATCACTCTATATCTTTTGGGGATACAGCAAGTCACCTGTTGTTATGTGTGTTCACTATATTATCCTGGCAGAAATTTTTCCCATCTGAGAAAAACCAAAGCATGTTCAGTTGGAGGAGATGCTTGAGTTTGTTCAAAAGCTTTGTAGTGCGGTTTTTCCTCTTGTCCTTTATGGCTTGGTATAAAAATTGGCCTTTTGTCCCCTTGTATGAGAAATACTGAATGCCTTTATGCACTACCGGCCTGATAAGAAACTCGGACATTACTGTGTCCCTGGGTATGGACCTGATTGACTTAGAGGGATCGTTGTCAGTTATGGCCTGGATCTCAACAACAAATTTGGGAGTTCTTTTATCAGAACAATCAGAGTGAGTTTTCCAAGCAGCTGTACCTTCATAATCACCATTAGACTCATCCAACTCTTTCTGAATCCTCTGCACTGTCCACAAATTGACACCCAAACACTCTGAGATGTTTATATTTGAGCTTCTGGCATGAATGCCAAGCAGTTCAGCATGCTATTTCCAAGTTTCTGGCAAAGTGAATTGCATCATGGTGCTCTTTTTCTTACAGTGTCCAACGGACCTTACTATACTGTGCAGTCAACAAAATCAAAAACAATGTGCATGCACAAAATTAAAAAAATGGGGACAATTTACCCATCGCACCCTGTAAATTCAAAATATATGCTTATTTTATTTATTACAAAAACATGTTACAGAAAAAAAAATGGCATAGATACGTAGCATTGATGGAACTAAATTACTTGGATAATATCATACATACACATCATCAGACTGTCAGAAGTGAGTTTTTGAACAATCTCATGTACTTTGCCTCAGGTATATGGTACATGAGTTACCAGCAGAAGTTCCCAATGATGCTGAGGTTCCACTTGCCTTGATAGTTTCTTTCCATCTTAGTATTATCATAGTGGAACCTTTCTCCATGCTCATCACTCACTGCTCTGAGGTTTGGAGAGAAGAAGTTAAGGTGGGAGTGGAGAAAGTGAATTTTGAGTGACATTCGGCATAACTTAGCCTCATAAGCCTGTAACAACTTCTCAATATGCTAATCTGGTACCCATGTATTACTGAAGATATGGCAAGTTGACTTAAATGCTTCCCATACCCTCAGTTCATTTAAGGTGTGAAAAAATCAAAAACCTTATCCTAAACATTGACTATATATGTGGTTATATTCATGCATACTGAGTATTTGAATTTGAAGATGATTTCATTTTGTTGCAATTAAACTTAGCCCACAGGGCCAAGTGTATTTTGCTTTTGGCAACTTTTATGTAAGTTTTTTTTTTTTTTTTTTTAAAGAACAATTCTTAAAATTTCAAATTTTTAAAAAAGAGCACAATCTCCCAAATAAGACTCATCTGACAGCCTTAAATGCATGTACACATATATATATATATATTTATATTCATGTATATCTAAACAACTAGGTGATGATTGGAAACCGATTCCATATATCAGCATCCAAAAATTAGGTTAGAACAACTATTTTTATGCTTGCCTCAATTCCTTTGTAAAGCACTGTTATTGGTTGATTTACAAAAGTAAAAATGTAACAGTGGGTAAAGAGACATATTTTTATCTGCATAAAGTCATAAAATAGTTTTTCATATATTTTTTCTATTTTGATAAAATATATAAAGCTTATATCTAGTTTATAAGAATTGATCTTCTCAATGTATTACATCAATAACAGGAAATAAAATCATCGCAATAAGTAATAAAGACTAATTGATTTGCATAGTTTCCAATATTTAAATAAGTTTTCTTATGAAAATAATTCAACCATTAGTTAATTACAGGATTCAAATCTAACTACATATGCCTGAGGCTCATATAGTAAATATTAGAAGTGAATGAGAATATTTCTATTCTCAGTGACGCAACTATTCTCACTATTAAATAAATACAATACAAATAAAATTCATTGTAAAATAAACATAAAAAAAAATTTTGGATGCTAAGAAATTACAGTTCTTTCAATGTCTGAGATCCTAAAATTTTATTAATTTCAATATCATTTGAATATTTAAAAAAATTTATTTTGCTCTTTTTTACTTAGATTGACAAAAATAATTCCTCAAAATATTTTTGGTATTAACCAGAATCAAAGTTTTATGGAAGTAACATAAAAATATGTTTTGCCAACAAGCAAAGACTAACAGTAAAAATACATATAATGAACAGAAAATAAATGTAGTTATATTTTATCATTCCAATAGTTGTCCAGAGTATTGATATCATTCTTTTTATTGTTACCACATTGTTTCAGCTGATCTATTTTATGACCTTTCTCTGAATTAGCCAAAACATCTTCCTCTTATTTACCAAATGGCTTTTTTTTTCATCTTTCTGCTATCACACAACTCCTGGTCAGATCAAACTATGGCTGCCAAATTTTCTATGTTTTATAATGGACATTGGAGCATGTTTTCAGCATATTAATTTTTGAAAATTCCTAACCTTAAAATTTTTAGTCAGAGGTTTACTTTGACTTATTTTTCTGGGCACTAAAAAATCAAAACTTGAAAAAAAATGTTGTCAGCTTCTATTTTTAGTATGAACAACATCCACAAAGGAGCCATAAACTTCTTGGTACCATTTATTAATTTAAAAGTCTTAACAAAGACATAGTTTGGTGATAATGCTTGTGTTTATTGCCACAATAAAAATCAAGTAAAAAAAAAATGTGTGTACTTGAAATCTCTCCATATCTTTAAATTAAAAATGATCATGATAATGACAATTTTCAAATAATGTATGATTCAATAAAAGTTCAAATTCCATAATTTTTTAGCCACGTTTTGGTCTTCCATAAGAACCAAAAGTCCTGAGCAAGTTTTTAGGTAGTTGTGATAAGAATAAAAGCAACAGGAAAAATAAGATCAATAGTTCAATCAATGCTTTCAATGATAGTGACTTATCTCATAATTATAGGCATGTTAGCATTGTTTCTAAATAAAAATACAAAATAATTTTGTTTACAAGAAATAAAACTTATAGGAAAATATTAAAAAAATCATAAAGGAAATTCTAGGAATATAGCCATAAGAGATTAAGAAAAAAGTGACTATTTTATGTTAGTGTTGAAAAAAAACTGACATTGTAATTGAGTTGAAAGCTCTGGCATTCCATTTCATATCTTGGAATCCTTTTGTTTGGCAAAGTGGGCAATAATCAGCTTTGTAGAATGTCAACAAGCATTGTCCTACATGCCTATACTATTTAGCTTAAAGCTTCTTAATTGTGATCTGTACCATTCAAAAAACATCTAAAATCTTAAAATAATCCTTTAACAATACTACAATATTTACTATAATACTAGCCCAAATCATTACTCCATGTTGACTTTCCATGTTGACCTCTATCCCAGCCATCCATCCATTCAATGTAGCTCAACATTCATCTCTAAGAATTACTGCAATGCTTTGCTTGGCAATGTTTACTTAAACTTTTTGTTGCTTTCATTTATTTATTCTTAATATTCTACATATTTTCACCCTCTTTACACCTGTAACATTAGCTACTTCTATTTTTTACTTGCCAATCCACTTTTCTTGATTTTTTTTTTCTTGCTTTCATTTTTAAAAAAATCATCAAATCTATTTTTGTGACATTCTTAATATCAGTTTTTTCTTGTTTTTGTCCCACTAATGTTCTCAAATTCTTTGATCACTATTCAACTTTCTTGCAAATTCCATTATTATGTTCTGATCACTCAGTAACTTTACAATATCTTTCTTACAAGCTATGGCAATCTTTATATATCTTAAATAAAAATAAAATATCAATATTTATATTGTGAAGAATATTTATTTTTAATATAATGACCAAACCTTGAATTGCATAATAAAATTTCACATTAACAAATAAATTATTGTAAGTATTTCTAATAAAAACACATCAGTCAGCTAATAAAAATTTTATTATGAAAAATGGAATTCTAAAATAAAATCTGATAGTATATACAGTTGCAGCCAAAATGTTCAGAATGGCATTGTTTTCATCAGAGGATAATACAA